GTCCCAACACTGGTTCCTGCGGGATGCCCATAGAGATTCTTTAGATTTTTGAGGTTTGCACTAGTTCATTACCGTCGGTTGCAACGTCTTTGACTTCAACAAATTGTTTCCGATTGATTAAATAAGACTTTTAAAGTTCAAGGTTTACTGTTCCTTATTCCGTAGTGCTCCAATTTAGCAATTATTAAGTTATAATCCAATGTATCAAAAGCTGCACTTAAATCAAGGAAAAGACCGGCTACTTTTTGCATATTATTCACTTCTCTCGTTATATTACCGATTAGAGTGTCTATAGCATCGCTAGCCCCGAACTCATTTTGATAGCCAAACTGTCAGGGATACTGTACTGAGTATCGAGTCACGGAAAATTCCAGTAAAGACTTTCAGAAATGAGTTTATGCCTCGTGTAGGTAAATCAATTTTCTCTTTCAATTTTTTCTTTCTGAAAGTTTTGTTTATTAAATAATATCACAAAAAATTTAGCGAACCTTCGTCTTTTAACGACCATAACCGTTCTATCCATTTTTACCACTACTTCCCTCCGTCACGATTGAAGTCAATTAGGCAGTCTGACCGATGGCAATATGGCGGTACAAATTTACGAATGATGGAAAATGGATGTATGTAAGAACGTAATTACTCCACTTCGCGGGGTACTACCTTTTTTCTCGGATATAAATAAAATGGAATAAAAATGCGTTCTTTCTTAGCACGAACCAAAATAAAAATTAAATTAGAGTGAAAATACTCCCTTTTTTATTAATAATTCGAAGTCGTTTTATTTATTTGTATTTGTTTTACTTACTCGACCATACATTCGATTCTATTGACAAATTATTGAGCGCGTCTCGCGCACCCAGCGCTATTAACATTATCTTAACTTTATAGATATTTATATTAACTTTAAAATTTGACGAAGTGTCTTTAAGTTTTTATGATCTCTGGCTCAGAGCAATACAATACGAATTTTATGTTTGATTATGTAAAGGTGTAACAAACAATTCAACTTATAATCATACTCCTAATAATAAATAAGATAAGCAATAAAATGTAAAAGTACATAGATATGGTTGTCAAAACAGTTTGGTTGTCCATGCAAAGGTTTTGTGCGGCGAACAAAAGTTTTTATTAAACTTTGTTATCTATTGCATGATCACTGTCTAATATTACCTAATAATTTTAAGTAATACTCTCTTAATACTATTTAATAGAACCTTTTTAGGACGAGTTATGTAAACTTTTCTTAGAACTAAATTATATCGCCTTCAATGAAATCCCTTAGTTTTTCAAAGACCCGTCTTGTTATACAAAGTGTAGTAAATACTTTGGGGGGACTGTGTTACGAATGTCTAACAAAGAGATCCATTTAATCGGGTTGACATGTGATCAATAAAAACTAAGTACAATATCCTCGGACTCGGAGACGACTTACTAGTATTTATTAGGTCTGTGGAAACGACATTTCTTTGACATTCTCTGTAGTAATGAGATAAACAACTGTGTCCTTTGCGAGGAAGCTTTAAAGCCTGTTTATACGGTTGAGCTTGACTGTGAATAAGCCACATGCAGTTTGCATGAAGAATCTTGTTTAATATGTCGTCGATGTTAGTGCCGCTCTGCTGCGATGTTTACTTATTTATTTTACAATAAATTACATTCTGCTTACAGATCAATCAAACGAAATTTAACAATTAAATGGAATTAAATACATTGCAAGTACATTATACTATTAACTGCCTCAGTGGCCGAACGGTTACCATGCCGAACTGCCACGCAGAGGTCCCAGGTTCGATTCCCGGGCCGGGAGAAATATTTGTATGACCTACATTTATTTCTCTCGTGAGTTTGGGTGTATTTTGTGGTTGCCTATGTGTGTGTGTCCATGGCACCCGCGACACAGGGTTTCCCTAGTGCGGGGCTATGTTGAGTGTGTGCGTTATTATTATAAATAATGTCATATACGTTGGAATCACATAATATTGCTATCTCTGGACAATGCTTCAAGGTAGCGTCTCGCGGAAACTACGGCTTGAGGTTCAGCACATGTAAATATGTCTAACAACGAGTGAAAGAGAAGTATCTGGTTAAGACATTTGAACGCTCTTGGTAGAGGGGTTAACATATTTACCTTAGATCGTGTAACATGCCTTGCAAACCATCAAATTGAACCTAGGCACCAAAAACTCTATCATCGATAAAATATCAGGGTTGTACTAGATTCCATGCAACAAACGAAATATATACATAGGTCGCAAGAGCTAATTGCGTCTCACTTCCAATGTTCTGTAGTTGACATTCCGAAAATAAAGGTTGTGGTATAAAGCAGGGAGCAAAAATGTGGCAAAAGCTTTTACAGAATCAGGCACAGTAGCTTATTGTATAACATCTCGTACATATCAATCGCAACTTTTTGTCAAATATCTCTTTCCGCTTATTTTTTTTCTCAAAATATTCTCCGTTAGCGTTAATGCACTTTTTGCAGACGAATGAACCAATTTTGAAAACATTTATGCCACTCCTCCGTGACAATGTCTGAAACATATTTTTCGTACTCTTCGACAGCCTCTTCAGGTGATGAAAATCGTTGACCGCGTAACTGGTTCTTAATTTTTGGAAATAAATAAAAGTCACAAGGTGCCAGGTCGGGACTGTACGCGGGGTGGTCAACATTGTTCACCTTCAAAAATTCATTTCTGTCTGGCCGTGTGGGAACCGGCATTATCGTGGTGCAAGATAATGCGGCGTTTACGGTTATTTTTACGGTGTTTGTCAATAACTTCCGGCAAACAAATGGTCCTGTACCAATCACTATTCACGGTACAACGTTTCTCCAAAGCAACAGTAGCCGCGTGTCCAGTTTTATTAAAAAAAGAAGCAATCATCCGCTTAGAGGCACTTTACACGCGCACCACTTTGGTTGGTTTCGGCTCATCTCGAAAGACCCATACGCTCGATTGTTGCTTTTGTTTTGGGATCGTAACTATAAATCTATGTTTCGTCACCTGTTACTATGTCCCATACCAAATTTGACGCCCCTTTGTTAGCCAGGTACTTAATTTGTTAAAAGCGTTTGTTGCGAGGTAGCGATCAACGGCCAATTGCTAACAGTCCTTTTATAAATAATATTGCCGTAGGAAATCTTCTACACTAATATCGGTAAGCATATGGGGGTCGTGTCTTTATGGAAACTGCTATTCGGAACCTTTTTGATAACCGGTTTCGTACATGGTAACACCTTGACAGTCGTATACTTTAAACCTTTAAATTTTTCTTAACATTTCAATAAAATATGCTTATGTGACACGTGGACTGTCATCAAATTAATGCAAATTAATTAGGTGTTCAATTAAGGATTACTAAATTTTATTGAAGGACAATACAAGAAATGAACAGTTTTGGTACTTTTAACCTTATCCACAACTTAGTAAAATACGGTCTGATTCTGACAAGTATAAAGGGGTCCCAATTGATAACGCGTGTTTTATATGCAGTTTCGTGAGCACACTAGGCGATGAAGCATGCACATAAAGCAAATGTTCAGTAAGAATGCCATGTTGAAACATGCTGTTAAATGAGGTCCAACCATAAACTTGGTAATTAAAAAGGATGGTGGCTAAAAGATCGCAGTTAAATAACCAGACTTTTTGATGTGGTAAATCACTTATTAAAAGGCTTTGAAAAGATTTAATGGTTCTTTTTTAAGGATTTTGTAATGAGATAGGTTTTACAAAAGATTTCGCTCTTAAGTTCGATTAACGGTTATTTAAAAGTACACAATTTAACGCAAAATTATATTCGTTTTTTAGAATTTTTATTGTTGTATGGAAAAAAAAATAAAAGAGCAGAAATAGGTAGCAGTACAGCTCCTTGTGAAAGAATTCCTTCAGGGAAGTATTACCACCTTAGCTATTTCTGCGGTCAAGCAGTAATGTGAGTATTACTGCGTTTTAGTTTTAAAGGTTAAGGGTGCTGGTGAAATTACAGGCACATGGGACTTGTCAATTTATGTCTCAGGGTGACGAGCGCAGCGGCAGTGCCCCTCAGATCTTTGTGATTTAAAAATCTAAGTGGCACCGCTACTGTTATGAACAAGGGTGTCGCTTACGCGGTTTGACGCGGTTCAAAGATGTGCTATGAGAATTGTTGACGATCCTGTGCTTAGAGCCGGTATTGAACCACTGTCTTGTAAGAGAGACTTTGCCTCCCTATGCCTGTTCTATCGCTTGTACAATGGCCAATGTTCTGAAGAACTGTTTGACATGATGTCAACAGCAACATTTTACCATCGCACCGCTCGCCACCGGCAGGAAGTCCATCCTCACACTCTTGAACCGAGTCGCTCTCGTACTGTATGGTTTCAGAGTAGCTTTCTCCCACGTACAATTAGGTCGTGGAATGAACTCCCTGACGAGGTTTTCCCGCAGGAATACAGCATGGAGTCCTTCAAAAGGGGTTTGAGATGGGTCCTAAAGGGTCGGAAACGCGCACGTGACGCCCCTGGTGTTGCAGGCGTTCATAAGCTACGGTAACCGCTTTCCATCAGGCGGGCCGTATGCTTGTTTGCTGCCTACATAAAATAAAAAAAAATCCATCAGGCGCATGACATATGCGTCCCGTCACTTGGTATTATAAAAAAGATAGTGTAATAAGCTCAAATATACTAGGGTGATAGCACCAATGATCGATATTTTAAGGGATGTGTGACTATGAATTTGCAATAACTTTTTAAACATATATCAATAATAATTCGTTTATTTCACAGATATAATCATCAAGAATGAATATGCTGTAATATGTTTCATAAAAAAGCTATTATAAGTGTAACTAAAAAAATTAAACTAGAATTTCTCTAAATCTCCAGTAATGAACACCAAAAATCCACTAATTAACTAACCAGTAATTGACACTCACAATAATGAGCACGTAGTAATTGTCGGTCACTGGTGCCACTACCATACCATTGTTTCATTTTTGCTTTTCATCGCAATGATGTTTTAGGATGTTGAGTTTTTGTTTTTTTAATTTCAAAGGAAAGCAGGTGCAAATCAGTGAAACATATATTTAAATCACAACACTTGCATGTACAACGATACTATTCAACGTAACCTCTGAAACGCCTTAAATAATAATGTAACAATAAACTGAATAGAGAATTGCTTGGCCTATAATCACCTATTTTATAATGCCCGTAGAGCTTAACCATTAAATTAATGTTGATAAATTTAAAAGTGTCGTCAATAAAACTACAACAATTTCGCAACTATAGGATACAGCATTAGATGCACTTCTTACTTTGTCGTCTTTTTTAGCACCAAAAGTGTATTTATATGGATCTGGATTATAATCGTAATCGATTATTCTACTTCTTATGATTTCTTTGTACACCAGTGCTGACTTCTTTGGTGTCCTGGTTCTGTTTTTGTCAACCAAATCCACATGGTATAAGCCGAATTTTAACCTGAAAGTGACCATAATATTACAAAATTTAGTAAAATGGGTTGAAATTCTTCTTTATAACTAATTAGTCTAATGACATTTGTTTGAAGCTGTTATACATGTTTCAACTATATTTATAGTTCTTACAGGTAGCAATACTTAGAGTAGAGTTACTTCGCATCAGTTCCTACTACCCCATTTATTAATATACATTTATTAATATATAATAATAATATATTTATTCGGCACCAAAACTCATGAAGAGTTTTTGTTTATTCTGTATTTCAGAACGAAAACTTTTTTATTTACATAAATCAGGACAATACGAAAATGTACATAAATCAGGTGATCGCATGAATTTTCGAAATTTGCACATGAAAATCTATCAAAATGAATGGTAAAACTTTAAATACGTATGTCAAGTTCTTAGGTTTTCGCGACTGCTACACATGAAACTAGTTTTCCGGATTTGTAGTCACGGTTGACTCACAGTCACCATGGGACTTGTAAAAGGCCCGACACGTTGGTTTGTTTCAAAAAAAATATACGCGATTTAAATCCGGAAAAATACTTTCGTTTCTATGATTGTTGCGTATTTACAAAATTCGGAGAACTGAGCTTGTGTCCTATTACTTTGAAAAACTATTGGCGGTAATTTACAAAACAACTTGTATTATCGCATACTTACCAAATTCAATAAAAGCTTAAATGAAAAAAACTTAAAAATTAACAACTATATTATATATAACTTACTGATAGCCCACGATCCATTCAAAATTATCCATCAAACTCCAAGGGAAGTACCCTCTAACATTGACACCATCCCTTAATGCATCCAACACAGCACCTAGGTAGTTTCTTATATAATCTGCCCTCATATCGTCTACTAAACCATCGTCAGATGAGATCCCATTCTCAGTTACGTAAATTAAGGGGTCGTCATATTTATCTTTCAGATACATAAGGACATGGTACAACCCTGGCGCGTAATCCTGTGCAGTAATAAGAACATTGAGCATTATATTACTATATCCGATACTAATAGATAAGAAGGAGAAGTCATATTTATTTATTAGCTCATCCACGTGTCGAGACAATATTAAATCAAATTAAGGAGTTCTTCAAAAGTTTTTGCACGAACGTTTCTGTAGTGTATGCGGATTGTCGGTGATTTATCTCGAGCGCACACATCACACGATGCATCTGTAGAAGGAGCTGTCTGTGTCAAAGAGTGCCTTGAATTGGTCTGTGTACGACCATCTGCCCGGAGGCATGTGGTGGTGCGTATTCGAGCCAAATACCAATACGCTATCAGTGTAAGAGCGGATACTACAGTATCCAATTAAATACTAGTGTTTTCTTACATTTTTCATATAGTGTGGTGCAATCTAGTGTGTAATTGTAGCAAATATTGTAAAAAATAATATAAAAAAATATATGTAATAAAGTACTTAGGAGCGTTAACTGCGTCGTAACTTTTGGATCAAAACTATCGTATTGTAAAAAATTTCAAAAGCAAAAATAGAAAACGACTTCTGTGACCCGACGGTTTCCATTGTGGGCGTTGGATGTGAAAGTCCAGAGTCCGATTCCCGATAGGCCAATTTGAGAAATGGTTTTTTTTTAATTGTCTCTAGTCTGGGTGTTCTGAGTTTGGTCATAGTGAGTTCCGTTGCTCTGCTACGCATAATACGGTACTCATAATAGGTACAGGGGATTTCCTGAGTGAGACCAGGTAATTGGTTGTTGGCACATTAAAAAAATGTACTAAACTCAAACTTATTCCAATTTCAGGTATATTTGCGGAAATGGAAGACTAGTATTATCATAAACCATTCATACTTAATTTTTGTATAATCTTGTACAAAATATCCACTTAATGCTCTGGCCACACGAGGCGGCTGCGGAAGCGTTCCGGGCGCGGGAATTTTTGTAATGTACGAGTTTACATGGACCCTGCCACTCTGAAACGCGATATCAACGCGCGGCCGCCGCGCGTTTCAGTGTGGCAGGCTTCATATGCACTCGCACATTCCAAAAATTCCCGCGCCCGGAACGCTTCCGCGGCCACCTTTGTGTGGCCTGAGCATTAATTCGTAACAAGCCTAGTTGGGCGGTCAATTGTAGCGTTCACTTTAAGAGTTAGTTAGGTAACCAAACGAGAACATTTCGGTACTGTACGTAATTGTAAACTAAACATTTAGGAATGGTGTAAAAAAGTTTAAAAGACATGGTACTTACATGACCCCAACCATGCGAAGGCCAAGATGGATTAGCAGAAGTGACAAAATACATATCGTTTTTTAGAGACGGTACGGGAAAACGTCCCTGCAGCGATGAATTTCTGGACACATACACAGCGGCATAGTGGTTAAGGCCTATAAAGTCACCTGTGCCTTTAATGTACTCCACTTCCTTCTTAGTAAAAGGGCGCAGTCTTGATGAGTTTCGACCTTCTTTAGCACTGTTTTCTGCTATTATCTCTATTAATCTTAGAGGATAGTTTCCTTCTTTTGCATATATGGGATGCACGAAATGATCAATCTGCAATGAAATATGAAGCTCAAACTTTGTAACTATTTTAATTCATTAGTGGCATTCACTTATACTTCACTTACATGAAAAATTTTATAATCAAAAGCAGCTTGAATATCGTCGGAAGAATTTGTGGCTGGAATACCCCACTCTAAGTTGCCGACAAAACCAACTTGCCCTTTTTGTGATTCCTTAAATTCATCTTTATAAATGTGGTACGCTCTAGCGTGTGCTAGTAAAATATTTCTCCCGCATTCATAGTAACCCTCTCCGGGAGTAGGTATTGCAGGAGGGTGTGTAGCAACCTCAAACGCAAATGAACAGTGAATAAAAGGTTCGTTAATAGTCATCCAGTTCTTCACTCGGTCACCAAAAAGTTTATACGCAACTCTGGCATATTCTCCGAACCATTCGATTACTTTTTCATTCAGCCATCCTCCTTGCTCGTTCAAATTCTGTGGTAGATCCCAATGATATATCGTCACATAGGGCGTTATCCCGTTTGCTAGAAGTTCGTTTATTAAATTGTTGTAGTAAGCCACACCAGGTGTATTTATATAATCGGCATGACCATATGGTAGTATTCGAGACCACGATATTGACATCCTGTAGCTGTCAACGCCTAATTCTTTCAACATTTCGACGTCTCGTTTGTACAAATAGTAAGACTTTGTTGCGTCGTCTCCGTTGGAACCATCTACTATTTTATCTGCTTTCGTATGAACGAAATGATCCCACATTGACCAGCCTTTACCTAGAAAAAAGAATGATAAGAATCTCGTAAGTTAAGGAAAACTAACTGGTTTTCCTTATTATTATAAACTAATGTTTATTAAAGTTACGTATTTCTGTACTGTGAGTGAGATAACCAATCACGTGTAGGTATTATGTATATAACTTGTATATATTGATGATTATAGGTATTTCGTAATCATTTTTATTGTTACAATAAAATGATAAAAAGGTCATTAATTATGTTTATGGTTATTCTATCAGGGCACGATTACATGCGATTACACTATTCTTTGAAGAAAAAATATACATTAATGAACTTTTTGCTAAAACATATTTGTGTGAATAAAAATAATAAAATAGGTATTATTAGGTATATTGAAATTGCAGATAGATATGTGGTTACCACGTATTAAGTACTAGTCAGACGACAACACAACGATGACTGCAAGTAGAGCCTAAAAGAATTATCCCCATACTAACAGCTATTGGCGATTCAATATACAGGGTTTGATTTTAAAAATACCCTGGTTAGTTGGCATAGCGACTGGCACGGTTTGCTGGGAGACGTTGGTTCCAATCCAACCGGATCGAAGTGAATTTTTTGTAAATGTTCGATGTGTAGTAAGTTACCCTGAACTTTTGAGAATTGTTAAAACAAATTTTCAAAATCTTTCATGCAACAGCTGATTCAGGTTTACAAGGATGTAAAAAAATATATGAACAAATGAATGATATAATATGGTCTTATTTCGAAAAGTTTCAGAATTAACGCTGCTTTTATTAGAATTATACAGCCGTACTTAGTGGTTGCGAAATGTTAAATTGAATAAAAAACTTAAATTAACTCGACTAGATCAATTTAATCAACTCAAACACGATAGTTCCGCTGTAGTGGTTGAGGAGTTGAATAGTATAGAGAATGTCCTTGTTACACCATCCGACCAAGGTGTACCACATTATTGTAATTTAGTCGAATTTATATAGTATACCAAATTTTAAGTCAATCAGTCAAGTAAATAAATATTACTTTCATAACTGTGATCCCTAAGAGGAAAAAGAAGTCATGATTTTTAAATAGATGAACAGATGGTCACAGTTCGGAGAACAGATGTTCATTAAACGTAGCAAAGTACCATCCTGATGAAATAAGTCTTCAAATATTATAAAAAAAAAACGACCTCAAAAGTTGGTGGAATTACATTAGCCAAGTTTTATTGAAATCGATTACAGGAAAGTGCGCGAAACTGGATTCATACCCTAGTTTGCCACCCTTAGATGTGGAATATTTTCTTCAAATTTAAATGGGTCCAATATCAAAATCGGTTCACAAATGCCCTAGTTACAGACATACGTATACTCTGACAAAGGTTTTAAAGTTATAACTCCCCTCTTTTTTAAGGTTGTTAAAGATGGTTAAAAATCATCACCATCATCAACTCATTTATACGTCCCACTGCTGGGCATGGATCTCCTCTCAGGTGACGGTTTAGGGTATATTCCGCCTAAGGTTTCATCATTTTCCTTCACCGAAAAGCTCATAGTAAATTTCAAATCAAATATAATAGCAACACTCACCATCAATATTCCAAGCTCCTTCGATCTGATACGCCGCAGTAGTTACGCCAAACTCAAAATCATAAGGAAATTTTTGCCTTACATCGTTGTTTGTACTTATTGCACCATTACTGTTGGTAGCTAACAACAAGCTACAAAATAAAACGCCAAAATTATCTTTGTACTCTATTTCTCATATTTTTATATCACAATGTGAGGTAGTTTTTACAAAAATGAATTTTGAGCCAGAAATAAGATTTTTCGTAATTTAATAAGTCATTAACATCCCAAGAAAAAAAATACATGAAACACAGACATTTCAAATGTAACAAGTAATATTGAGAAATCCTAAATTTCTCCATCATCACTCAAGATACTCTACATTTGAATAGGAAAACACTAAAATTATTATTTTTTATTTAATGGAGTAAATATGTACCATAAAAAAAATCAGTGATATTTTTTACAAAACTTATCCAATTACAAAGAAACTAATTAATCTTTTTAATAAATATGACATTTAACGACAACACCTAATGATAATTACCACAACACTATCACAATAATTTCACTCCACAATGTCATGTTTCTTGGGACTCCAAAACTAAACTGTGATTTCTTCTTGGAATTGAACTATATAAACATTATCAATCAATATAACATGTACAATTAAATTATCGTTGGCGAAATAGCAACGTCTCTGTATAGGTATAGACAATGTTAATTCGTTATCGATTGCAAAATTCTGGAGAATGTGGCAGTCTTAAACTCCTTTATATTGTAACATGCATGAAATTGTGACTACATGGATGCAATATCGCATTACAAATTTTATTTCGATAATTATTTTTAATGAAAAACTTATAATCATCGAGTTTTCAGGTTTTCGCGATTGTTACACATTGGAAAAAAACATTTTTTTTTTCGGATCAGGACCCCGATTCAGAACTTTTTGATATTTTAATTGAAGGGTGCTTTCCGAGCTATTCAGTTAAACGTTCGATTCGGATTCGGATACGATATAGTTATCCAACAGCGTTTACGCGAGTTAGTTGATGAAATAGATTATAAGAAAAATGAAAATCCTTTTATATACATTTTTAAGACTTTAAAGACCTAAAATATAGGAATGCTTTAGTCTTACATTAAAATAAATTAATAAAATTTAACAAAACCAGACTTTATTAAAATAATATGAGATTTCCAAATTACATTCGAGCTTTGTAAACAACAGGACGTTCGGTAACTTTCATTCGACAACTGTGTTCAGGGGGCCAATCGCGCTAATTGTCAAAGGTTTAACCAAAACCTTCAACCTCGCCAATGTGACACGTTGCGTACATTTCGTATCGCGCTAACTGTCAAAACAAAAACCTAACCTAAGCCAAAACGTTAGACGTGTGACACGTAAAGCACATTTGGTATCGCGCTAATTGTCAAAGAATAACTGAATAACGTTTGTAGCCTTTGCCGGTCGAGAAGTTCGAGTAATCGTACGGAAGTGACGTCATTTCGGTTCGGTTTGGAATACGACAGTTTGACGTTCGATTCGGGTGTTGTGAATAAAAATGAAAAGAAATCGTATGATATCAAATCGAATCGGTCGACAACTGAGTTATCGTAAGGTTACGAATCGACCCCCTGAATCGCGAATGTTTTTTTTTTTCAAGCAAACCAACGTTACATAACTAACCACTCCGCCGTAACCATGAGACGGGGATCTACTCTCGTTCTCTATCCGATATCCGTCCGAAACAATTAGGCTTTATTCATATCGCCGAGACGCAACGCGACGCGGCGCTACATTAAAAAGAGCAATGTAACTGTAACTTAAAAATTATAGCGTGCAGTGCAACATCAACTTTATCCTCTACAAAATAAGGCAACTAAAGTAATAATAGTAATAATAGTAAAGCTTAAGTAAAATTTAGGCGCTATTTATAATAATAATAAACATTAATAATATCTTAGTATAATTATGTGTTATAATTAACTTGAAAAATCATTTTTATACCTTAGTGCATAGGTTCCCAAACATTTTGGGTCATCGCCCACTTAGGCAAGATAAATCAATTTCAACGCCCTCCATCACAAAAAATTCTTCTTCTTCTTCTTCTTCTTCTTCTTCTTCTTCTTCTTCTTCTT